ACTTGCAATTGACATTTATCGGTTGTAATTCTTGTTAATATTCTCCTATTCAAAAATTTTTATTCATTGTTCTGTTGTTGTTCATGAAAATGTACAATTTTTTAGCGTAAAAATTTTTACTTTTATCTAAGTGAAATAATATTTTTCTATATTATATGAAAGCAAGAAATAATCATAATAATTTTTATCTTAATTTTATCTCACTGCAACAAATTCTTCGAATTTCACTGTTATTAATACAGACTTTTATTATAATTTTAGTTTATTATCTTGAATTTAAAGTATATTCTTAAGTCTCATTATAGATGCAAGGTATTGCACAACATTTTCTTTATAGTAATCTTAATTGGATTAGAACAAAATACATGTAAGATTACTCCCAAAATTCTTTTCAATTTACCTAATTAAAATCCCCATCTCTGTTGACGAAGATCATAAGCTTTGCTATAGTGTCAGAGCGCGAAGCGCTCTTTTACTATGTTTCATATTAAAACTATCAGGAGTTAGAGTTTGTTAATGAGCTGTCCGAGACTGGTGGTTGAGTAAAGAATTGAGGTGAGCCGTTCTTCAACCGGCGAGGCGGTGGTGGCGGGGCCACACTAGTTTAGCAGTGATGTGAAAGGTAATGTAGTGTTTTTGTATAGTGGTGGCTTTAGTGACGGTGTCAGTATTAATGCCTGCGTTATGGGGCAAGTATATGTGCTGGGTACCTGTGTTTTTCAACAGGGATTGGAGTATATCGAAGGTTTGATATTTCTGGATTATGATGAAATTGGACTGATTGACAGAAGTTGGTGGAGAGTATGCGTATATATTCTGCAATGGTATTGATATTGAGATCTGTGTGAATGGTGTTATTTGGGATAAACCAAGGTGCATTTACAATTTCACGAAGCATTTTGTTTTGAAGAATTTGTAGTTTTTTATGTGCATTTTTGCCGCTTGTCCCCATATAGGGCAGGCATAGAGAAGAGCAGGTCTGAGTATCATTTTGTAAAGTATGACTTTGTTGGATATGGAAAGTACACTGTGTCTGCCTAAGAGTGGCCGCATAGTGGCCGCTGTCATTTTAAATTTTTCTGTGACAGCACTGAAGTGTTGCCTAAAGGTGAGTTTGCTGTCCAGAGTGATCCCTAGGTATTTCACCTCGGAGACCCATTCTATATCATCATCAAAAATTTGGGGTGTAGTTGGAGGTACCTTTACAAAAGATGATTGCTTTTGATTTATTAGTGTTGATTGCTATTCTCCAAAGTGTGAACCAGTGCTCGAGAGTTATGAGATAATGCTGTAATTGAAGTCGAATGTGATTTGTATGTATTGCCCTCGTGAGAATGGCCGTATATCATCGGCGAACAGTGCTAGTGTGATAGTGGTCATCTTTGGGTATGTCATATGTATAGATATTATAGAGTAGGGGGGAAAGAACTGCTCCCTGGGGGACGCCAGCTGTGATGGGTCGTATGGAGGAGTGCGTATTGCGAATTTTGATGGTAAATGTGCGATTACTAAGATATGAAGCTATAAGTCGAATAAGATGATCTGGGAAGTCCAACTTGATAAGTTTGTAGATGAGTCCTTTATGCCATACTCTGTCAAATGCTTTTGACACGTCTAAGAAAATTGCTCCTGTGGGAATTTTGGCATTGTAACCATCTGTAATGTAATTGATGACTCTTAGAAGCTGATGTGTAGTGCTGTGTGAATGACGAAAACCAAACTGTTCTGAGGGTGTGTAATGGCTGACTGGAATGTTTTTGTGAATGAAATACAAAATAATTTTTTCCGTGATTTTAGATAGGCTGCTAAGCAGGCTTATTGGCCTGTAGTTCTGTGGAAATGTATTATTCTGTTTGGGTTTTGGGAATACTATGATAGATGCATTTTTCCAGGCTGATGGGAAATATGAATATTTGATAATAGCATTGATGAGTTTAGTAATGTATGTAATCCCATTTATGGGGAGATTTTTTAATGCCTTATTTGGGATCCTGTCTTGGCCAGAGGCTTTCTTATTTTTAAGTGCACTGATAAATTGTGCAACAAGTGTTGGTGTGGCAAGAAAGGTGAAATTTAGTGGAGCTGGAATGCCAAGATAGCTATCAACCACTGTGTTGACGTGATCAATATGATCATTGTCATAAGGGGCTGGATTTGGTGTAAAAGAGTCTTGAATGACATCTGCTATTGTGTTGGCTTTGTCAAGATCAGAGTAAACCATTCCCGACGGTCCATGTAAGGGGGGGATTTGCTTATAAGAGTTTTTGAGTTTACGAGAGATGTCGTACAGTGAGTTATCTTCAGTGGATAGTGTATTTAGAAAATTTGTCCATTTGCTGCTTTTGTACTCCTTGATTGCTCTTTTTATACTGTTTTGGAGTGAATTTAGTCTGCGTTTGGCCTGAGGGTCTCGGGTGTTTTGCCAGAATTTGCGTACTCTATTTTTTATGATAATCTGCTCCCTTATGTTGCGTGGAAGGGGTTGGAAACGTCTGTTGACATAGAATGTAGCGTCTTAGTAGTAGCGTCATTAATGGCTGCTTTGATCTGATTGGTGAATTGTTCAACTTCCTTATCAATATCCTCTTTATTATTAATGAGGGGGTTGCCTGGGACTGTACTGGAAATAATATTAGTAAATTTGGGCCAGTTTGTAACACCAATTGAGCGTAGTAGTGAAGGAGGGCTAGCATTTGTAAAAATTTTCAGTAATACTGGATTGTGATCTGAAGAAAGTGCTGGGATTGAGGTAATTTCATGCTGGTATGGAAAATCCCTTGCGATGAAGAAATCAGTGATTGTCCATCTGTTTAGCGAGAAATGCGCGGGTTCTTCTGGTGCTAGCAGTGAGTAATGATTTTGATTAATAAGATCAAAAAGTAAGTTGCCATTTCTGTTTGCTCGTCCAGGATTCCAGCTAGGGTGCTTTGCATTATAGTCACCCCCTGCTATCGATTTGGGGTGTATAGTGATCAGGCTATTGAGTTCTGTAATGTTAAGGTGATTTGTGGGTGGTATGTAAATATTGGTAATTGCAAATGAGGTATTGTCAATTGTGATAATGACGTTGACGTTTTCAAAGCTGTTTGTGAGCACTGGCTTGTGGAAGTGTGAGATACTGCTTTTAACATACGTGATGACCCCGCCGCCTCGTCCTGAGAGTCTATCACATCTGTAGGCAAAGTAATTTGGAAAGAGGACCGTCCTGGCTGGCTTGAGATGAGTTTCCTGCACTAAAATTACATCCGGCTCGAATTCTAATATGAGATCGCTTAATTCATCTTTTCTGGAGTAAAGTCCATTGGCATTCCAAGTGAGAATGCTGTAGTATCTGCTATTATTTGCTGCTGGAGTGTTAAATGTGACTAGTGATTTTTTCAATAATGTCCACTATTATTTCTATTTTGTCAAATATTGAAGTTTTTTGTTTGATTGTTTTTATTCCGTTTTTGATGTCATTCCATATGACTTTTAGCGATTTGAGACTGAAGAGGTCATCAGAGCTTTGCATTATCTCTGAGGTTTCTGTCTGGGCTGCAGCAGCTGGTTCTGTGAGTGGCGGGAAATTTTCTGAATTGCTTGTCCAGGGGTTATTGGCAGGCGGCTGGCTTGGGATGAAATTGTCAGTTTTCCTTTTTGTCTTTGGTATATAGCCGGGCAACCGGAAAAGGACGCAGGATGTGGCCCCCCGCAGTGACAGCACCTTGCAGGTTCTTCTGGTTTTAGTTTGACATTCGCCGGACGTCGAATCGATGTGGGCCCCCACATCTCACACACACACCCATTCTCTTGTACATAATAATGAGTTGTGGAAGAACCCCTGGCACCTATAGCACTGTGGAGGTCCTGGTTTTCTTTTAAGTGCCTCTACGGTAACTCTGAGATAGCCAATGTAAGTGAGGTTGTAAATGGTTTTGTTTTGCTCGTTTCTTGGCAAATGCACTAGAAAGAGCGGCATTGGTTTGTTTTCGCGTCTATTTCTAAGATTAGTTATGTAGGTAGCTCCATATCCTTGATTTCTTAATTCTTGTACTATGTACTGATGGTCCATAGTAACAGGAAGTCCTCGTATGACAATTTTTAAAACCTTTTCATCTTGAAGTTGGTAAGTGTGTGATTTTTTAACTTTTTCTCCTTAATGACTTCTCTCACATATCTGTGAGCATCTGCATCAGGGAGAGTCACATGCAATTTGGTGCCTTTTAATTGGCCTGTAATTGTTTTACCCTGTTTGAACACTAAGCTCAGCCAGGAATTTATCAGCTTGAGGGACATCATCTATAATAATTGGCGGAACTCTGATTTTTCTACTGTTCGAGGGCTCAGGGGCCGCCGGATTATGTGTACCCTCACTTTCATTATCCATTTTTTCCTCATTGTTGTGTATATTAATTTCACTCATTTCTGTTTCAAGTCCACTGTATCTGTTAGCGGTTTTAATGGCAGGTTCAAGTTGTTCTGTGTCGGAGTTTGTAGAAGCCGAAGAACGGCGCCTATGTCTTTTACGTTGCTCCTTAAATGGTTCTCCATGTAAGGCGTTCATTAAGTGATCGACTTTTTGTTCCAATTCTTTAATTTTTTGGTCACGATATTCAATTTCAGTAATTGCTTGGTTTTCTTCTAATACACGTGTTTTGTTTAAGATGCATATTAGAAAGTGTTGCAGTCTATGTGAAGCATGATAAGTAATTGTTTCACTAGTTAATATGTCTTGAGCTAGTGCAGAGAGTCTAGCGCATTCCTCAACAGTGGAGAGGATGTGTAATTGTTTTTCCAGATACGTGATAAACTGATCAGTTTCCGCTTCATTTTGGAAAAGCTTTTTTCTTTCCTCCGGATAAGCAATGATCTTTGAAATTGGTGAGCTAGGTGGTGAGTGCGACATTTTTATCTCTATTCTTTTCTGTGCTGATATCTGGTAAAATTGCAGCAGAATCCTTAAAATGATCTGTCATTGTGTATCATGTAATACTCAAAAAGAGTATCGACCGCAGGAACAGGAGAAAAAAAAAAAAAAATCGAAGAGCCACTTTGCCCGCACCGCGCCGGGGTGTGCAATAGGTGGAATCTCCGATGAATACAACCAGTGCCTCTGTCAAGCACCGACACGCAAGCTTGGAGCGTACTCTGGTTGCAGAATGACCAAAGTTCTAAGTTATTTCTTGTTAATCACAAGAAATTATTTGCACAGAGTGATTTCGTGCGATAAGCATATATGGCACAATTGCTTCGTCGATACCAAAGCTGCCACGTGTTAGTCCTAGTAACTCCACGAGACGAGCGAGGGGACAGAGCACCTTTATGCTCGGAAGTCAGGTGACAAATGAATGAATGAGATGATGAAATCATCTCTGTTTACTGTGAAAGATATAACTTTATTTTCAGCCAGTCATTCGTCTTTTTAAAAGTCTTTTTTCTTCTGATATACTAAGTTTGGTGTTCTGCATATAATTTTGGTGATTGTTTGACAAACATATCCGGAGCATGGGCCTATGTATGGACTATTAACATTCCATACGTTTTTAATGTGGTGACCTTGTCATTAATGCAGCTAACAGCAGAGCAAACCAAGGCAGAAGAAGTACAACTCATTATATAGCTACTCTTGCTTTTGGTTTTAAGCATCTTCTAAGTTAGAGAATGTTTTGAAAATCAGGAAACACCCATGTTTTTTAAAGGTGGAAATAAGAGTGAATTAAAGAAAACTCACATATGCCTATGTATGAATTTACAGCTATTATAGTCAGAGATGCAGAACATTTCTTTTTCTGTTTTTTCCCCCTTTTCAACAGATAGCTTGATAAATGTAATCCTTAGCAATTAGCTGAAACACAAAAATATATCGTGCAGATCTGTCCTTCCCTTCAGTGGCACAGAACTGAACCATTCTGTGAACTTATAAAGACAAGTATGTTCCTCTTTGAATTCTTTCTCTCTGTTTATGTATAGAGAGAGGTGTTTAGATTGTATTCCTTGGAAATTCTTACTTATGGTGGTATGCAGTTAAGATGAAATTAATTTTAAATTTTTTCTGTGGAGTTATAGCTACAGAGAAGTGTACTATATTCAGTTTAAAAATATAATGTTTTCTAAAAGAAGCATAATCTAAATGCATATCTAAAAGAAGCATATTAATGAAAATAAAGTAATATTTTCAAGTCATTGACAGAAATGCATTGATGTCAGTGACTCATATTCTGAAGAGTAGCTTGTCAATGACTCATATTCTGAAGAGCAGCTGTTGCAGCTTATTTAAATAGCTATTGCTTGTTTTGGAAAAATTACATATGTTAATAGCAAAAACCTTCAAATATTCCAGTATAATTTGTACATATCTGGAAAATTTTGGAAAACAAATTGTTTTTTAATCTTAATGTATTAGAAAGAAAATGCTCTTAGTTTGAGAAATTCCAAAATTATTAATTTAAATTATTTAAAAAAAATACATCAGTATTGTTTGGTAATTTTAAGTTTAAAAAGATTTAGTTACTTTGTAGTGTTTATTCACTTATGTGAAGGTATACATGTTTTTTTTTACTATTTTTGAAACATCTGTTAGTATTTTAATAATTAATTGACATATAAATCTTTAGAGTTTTTAAGAATCACTATCTTCTGATCTATGATTTGGGGAATCTTGAAAATACATTGTTCCTTGCATATTTTTTCACCTAGCTTAGTGCAAGGTTCTGAAAATTTTAAATACATACACATAATTTTCTCCTTCCTCTTTTGTTTATATTTTTTCCCTCTAAGCTCTTATTGGTAAACTGTATTCTCTTTATTATTTTTATTTTGCATATTCAATTTGTGTTTACATTTCATCAATTTTATTTTACTGGGCATTTATTATTTGAAGAAATTATTGAAAGTATTTTGTGCTTGTTTCCCATTAAGCTACTGAAACGTGGCAGGTGTTCTCACACTGAGGAAGCACGTGGTTTGGCTTTATATCTAATCTATTGCTGATGTGTTCAATCTTGCAAAATCTAAGCTTTTTGTTCCATCCTCTTCTTTGTTCCTCTGATGTCCCTCTAATTAACTTCAGTCAAGACTCATTTCTGTGAGGTGCCTTTGGGCTTTACAAGATAATTGAGCTGGACACAGCACAGAAATTATCATCAGATATTGGCTCTATATTCATCAGATACTATAATGTTAATATTACTATGTATGCTAATTGAAATGCAATTTAAGAAATAATATTGATAGTTATCAGTAGTTTATCCATGATTACTTTTCATTTATTACGTTCTTACTGTAACCGTGCTGTTCGGAAGTTAAATTACTCTCATAATTTTCTGCTCTTGGTTTCGGATAATAAAATTAGTTAAGAAAAGAGGAAAAATACATGAGAAAAGATGATAAATATAATGAGACTTACACACACACACACACACACATATATATATATGTATTTAATTGATTCCAAAGTTATGAATGGATATTTCATATATTATCAACTTAATAATGTGTTATCCTCAAAACTTATTTTCTAGGCCATTCATTGCATTTTGAAACATCTGTAAATTATGCATCATATCAACCTAATATGAGTTCTGAACTTGAGGATGTGAAGCCAAATTTAAATCATCTGAATAATTTTGAAAATGAAGTGACTAGAACTATAACCCAGGTATATTCTTCTCAAAAGACATGTTCAAAATCAGCAGATGATGAAAAACTGATTGCCATTCTTAGAAGATTATCTCCCAAGGAATGCCCAACATGTCATCAAGGCTTCACAGCAAGTGTTTTTAATTACCATATGCTTAATTGTCAAGGAGGAATTTGTAACTCTGTGAATTGTGATGTATGTGGGAAAACATACAGAAAGAGGTATTTAAAAATGCATAAAAGATTGGTGCATAATATTTAAAATCATTGATTTTGATACCTCAAATAATGACGAAAATTTTTTATATTTGTATATACTAGTTTGATTTATAATCTTTTTAAACCTATACATCATATGTACATAAAAAAATGGCATGTGCTCTGGTGCTTTTGCTCTGTTTAAGAGTTATATGATGCATGTTTAATGATTATATGTCATTTATTAGAATATGCACGACAAAAAAATTCTGTCTAAATAATGATTTTGGTTATTAAATAATATAATTTGTAAATGGTATATCATATTTTTGACACTTTCATCCTTTGCATTTGTAATTTAACTTTTGTATTATTCTTGCAAATGTGCTTTTAAATCAGATTTGAGATATGAATATAGTACAGGGAATTCCTCATGAAGTATATCTTTTGTTATTTATATTTAAATTGACAGAATGTAGTGATAAAGGACATTTTAAAATTAAAATAATGTAATCTTTAAATGATAATAATTCACACTTCTGGTTTTAGAAGTATATTCATTAAATAAATTTAAAAACAAATTATAAAATTGTGTATTTTATTCATAAATATTTGCTTTTAATAATGGAAACAGAATTGCAAAATATTTAGAAAGTATTGTCTTTCAACTGTCTTTCCTTGGATCACAGCATGTCTTGATGTATTAGGAGATAACTGCTAAATTTGTATTCATTGATGTTTTGAATAAAATTAAGATTTTTATTAAGCATATGGTTAATTACTAGCTTAGTACTGTGTAATTTGTGTTTTAGAATAGATAGTAAATGAATTTAAGAGATATTAAACGTTTTTTGCATAGCTAAATATTATATTTGATTTTAAATTGTGTTACATGTAAAATAGCCAAATTGTTTTTAAAAAATCTGCAATTTTTTTAAGTCTTATTTTTAAAAAAGTGTCCTATTTTATTCAGTTGTTCTTTTGTTAATCATCTATTAAAAAGCTGCTACCAGTATAGTGTACAGTGCCCCAGTAAAAAGTGGTACAAAATGTGTAAATAGTTTTTCTACAAAATTTATTAAAAAATCAAGTATATAGTTTACACACCTTATTACATTAAAATAAGCATACATGTATAAAGGTAATATGTATTAAAAAATACAGAACTAGGGAAGTAGTATTAGAAAGAAGTATCTAACCTAACTTTCATATACAGATCTTACATCTCTTAAAAGAGGTATGAGAAGTCATTTTCTCTTTTTCTCAGCATTTTCCAACAGAAGAGGTCTAGGTGAATGTGTTCATTTGATATGCCTCTTATTTTCTTTAAGAACTGCACTTTTGCGTCAAGCCAAGATCTTTCATTTGATTGCATATGTGCTTCTGTTGTTGGATTGACATAATATTCTTGATGAATAACTGTCAGATGATGGTAACCGAATTCTGTTAAATTTGCGTAGGCTGACTATTCATCAGAATGTATAAAACAAATTATAAAATATCCAGTGATAATAGATATATAATAGATGGATCCAGTGATAACTTCACACTGTATTATTGGTATTAAGGTAGCTCTATTTTAATGCAAGTATAAAGTATCAACTTGATAGAAGTATCAACAGTTTGAACCCTTCTTTATGGCAAATACCAATGGACCATCAATTCTTGCACCGTGTTTTCTGTTATTGTCAATTACGGTAGTGCTGTCTTCAGATATCGCAGGTCTATTGCTCCTTAGAACTCAACCTTGATCATACTTTCTGTGACCTGCAAATCTAGCTTCGTCTATCTGCCATGGGACTCTCATTAGAAGCTTGCATCTGAGGTCTTGATTTCACAGTAGAACTGTATACTCCACGACACTAGTTAAACCAGTCAGAGAGGGTATTTTTTGACTTGCAGTAGTATCCATAGGGATCTCCTTCACAAGAAATACTAAAAGCTCCAAGGTTTTGCAAGTCAGATTGGAATTCATCCTTTGATTTAGATCTGTGTAATGGGAAACAAAAAAAAACATTCTTGTCGAATGGATCGTGTGACATGGTAGACTCTCCGGGAACAACAAAAGACTGATCCGCATTCTCCACCTCTATCCCATCTAAATTTCTCATACATGTCACTGCCACACAAATGTTAGGGTTCTCATGTCTTTTTTTTTTTTTTTTTTTTTTTTTCCCTAAAAGATCATGTTCTTATAGAAAATCAACAGCAGTTTTTTCCACTTAAAATGACTATGAAATTCTCATCATAGAAATGTAGGCTTCATAAATTATCTGAACTGCTTTAAAAAAATGAGAAAAGTAAGTAACTGGTTTGTGCTTTATACCCTTTTTAAATACTCAATATACTTAATAAAAATATTTATGAAATCAGTCGAAACCCTTAATAAAATAACTGTTTATAAGTATTAAAACATTTAGCAAATGGGTGAGCTGCACGCTATATCGGCATAAAAAAACTCTTGTTTTGAAAATCGATGCTTCTTATTTAGCAAGAACTTATTCTGCCTGAAAAATGAAGTTATGAATCTAGAATTAAGAATATTTAATTGTGCATTTTTATTGGCTATGTTTCTGGTAGAGAGAAGGTCAGGAGAATAAGCAGGATGGCATGAAATTCGATTATGGCATTTTCAGAGAAATAATATACGAGAAATGAAATGATTGAAAATTATCTAACATGTCTGTTTACTGGAAATTTTTGATGTAATTCCTTTCACATTACAGTTTCTCTTCTTAAGGGGCTGATTGGATTTTATCTAGCATCCAAAGATTGAATAATGGGCCCATTCATATTAGACTGCTAACACGATATTTCTTAAATAAATAAAATCCTGAAAGCCAGTTTGGAATTTAACTAACATTACATTTTACAAAATGCTGAAACAAACGAAGCTGTTATGGGCTTATAGAAGTATAAATTCATATATGAAAGTGTTCAAATATCATTACTTATGTAAACTCATATGGAGCAAATTTCTGCATGGACTTATTCTACAAGTGATACAAAAAACAAATTCAAGAGTTTTTCCAAAAGCTTAACAAACCTGCAGATATAAATGTGCTTACTAATACAAACATTTTATTTCATATTTATTAACATAAATATTTTATTTCATTATATATTTCAAAATGTAGTTTTGTTTTTGCTAGCAAAATATTAATGCTAGAAGATATAATCCTTTATATGTTACAAACCAAGTACTTACATTTGGCTTTAAATAAATAAAATGGGAAAATCTATAAGGGATGAAATTTCTGTATTTTTAAAACTTCTGTTTTCTATCAGTAAGTCCCTTTTTATTTAAGTAATATAAGTTTATACTTCTTCGGCATTTGTGTTACAATTTATTAGAGATTCATCTGGTTTTAAAAAATATTTAAATGAAATATAGCATCGTAAACAGCTGTCTAGTAATTAAATTTGGTTTTCAGTGTATTAAGTTAACATACAGCAATGGTTTGTAAGTCGATAATAGTTTTTAGATTTTTTTTTTTTCATAGATCAGTTTTTATGCATAATTTTCACCTTGTCCCTTAGCTTCAGGGTTATAAAAATAAGTAACTTTTAATTAATTCTGTGGTTTAGGAAGGTGTGAATAAGGTAAAAACCTGCCTAATTTTTGCTAAAGTAAATAAGAAAGATGTTTTTGTGAAATCCCTTCATTGTAATAAACTATCTGTTATGTGTATTAACTTTTAAAGTTGTATTTCTTGTATATAATTAAAAGAAAACATATTATCATCAAATAAATAAATTATTGCTTAAAATTTATTTTCTTCTTTATATTTGTACAAATGTTGCTAATCTGGGCAGGCTAGCTTAAGACAGTGTGAAATTAATATCGTTAAACATTGTCTTGTGGTTTTTAATAATGAGTGTATTATGATGACACATTAAAATTTTTATAAAAATCTGATTTGTTACGAGAGGAGACTAAAAAAAATTAGCTGCTTTGCTTCTGTTTTTAAGTACAGAGATGGATGTTATTTGTTTTCTAAATGTGTAAAGATTATACAGTAAAATGCTAGTGAAGAGGGAATTTTATCTCAGTCAGTCTCTTCTTTGGTGATTTTTATCATAATTTAATTAAATCTAGCATTAATGTTTTTACCCATTTCTTTCATCTTTTCTCTTCCTACTCTAATTTTTTATATTATTACTTACTTTTCTTTCATTGTCTAGTATGCTTAAGGACTGCATTTATTTGTTGTTATAGATTTGCGATTTTTACTCTGGAGTATCCAAATAATTCCCAACAAGTATGTCATACATTATATTGTTACAAAAAGCTGAAACACTGCCTATTTTGTAGTCATTTGTCAAAAATGAGATTTAGTGCATAATTCTTTTGGAAGCCAAATTTTAAATAAATTATATTGTGCTTCTTATTATGTAAATTACTCATAAAAATAAAAGTGTTTTCCAGAAAATTTGCTTTGAGAAACATAAAAATTGTTTGTCGCGTAGCGAGCATGTGCAAAGACAAAAAAGTGTCCCGTGTAGCGAACTCAGTTCCTTACTATAAACTGCACACAAATTTCATCGTACTTTAAATGTGGAACATACAACTAACAAATAATAAATATTTCATAACTTGATCTTAATTATCGTTGTGTGTGAACTGATATACGTTAATAAAGGAATAAATACCTAATATATTATAGGAATGCTATTAAATATCATTAAGTGTAATTAATTATTATAAAAATTGCATATGAAAATTAGTACACTTGAGTGAAACAGCTTTGTTTTATAGAATCTTGGTCTGTTGGGTAGCATAAACTAACAAGCACTAAAAGACTGTATGAGGAATTATCCCCAGATCTTAGTACAACAGAAAAGTCAGAAGAAGTGTGTAAAGAACACTTTATTCAATCAAATAGTTGCACATATGGCCTCATTTGGGCTTACATAAGCCAAAACTTCTGCCTTAACTCAAAACAAGTAACGTTGAACTTAAAATACCGTAATTTCCGGAAGAAAGGCCGCATCAGCGTAAACGCCGCACTCGAGAAAAATGG